TATGTACTGCAAATGAAGCAAAAGTACAAAGCTCTAACCAGTCACATGACACTGTTGACCAATTACTGGCAACTGTGCTGGGGAGGTGAACCAGGCCGTGAGAAACATCTGAGTTCTGCCGACCAGTCAGCGAACGTGGTTACCAAAGCCAAATGTTAAAATGCTTCTTGATCCAAACACATACTCCTGCCTGTACGAAAGTTACAGTAAACTATGTATTGGTCCAAAGGTTTCCTGCCTAAATGCGATCTCTGTGTCAATGAAAACCTGCCTCTCAACGCTCGTCAGCCTGACAGTTCTCTGGCATAAAGAACTGTAGATGTGGAGGACAGCAGGTAAATGATATTCAAAAGTGTCATCTCTTCAGAGAGAAAACTCAGCGCTCCCTCAGGAACGGTCTGATGAATATTAATATGTGGTAACAACAGTCGCTGCGTGCCAGGCCTGTCAGGTCTGGAGACAGGTTCTAGTTTGAGGGCAGAGAGCGTCGCTTCTCCACCTCTCACAGCTTTGTCAACTTGTTTTCCCTCCGCGCTACATAGAAGCTTTGTCGCTGGGCTGAGGATTTCTCTTTGCTTTGATATCTTTCCCCGGTTTGCCTTTGGTGTGTACTTCACAGGCAGTGTGGCAGCACTCATTAACACTCTGACGGTTGTTTTCCTCTTCTTTTGTGCCACTATACTACCTGCCAGCCCACCTAATTGTCCCATGAGGGACAGGGCAACAATGAGGATAGAGAAAAGCCTTAATTCATCTTAAATTAGCATTTGTGCTAATGTCTGATAAAGCAGCATGTTAATGGTGCTTTCACGACATAATTGGAAGCTGGAAACAATTTGGGGCTGAAAAGAGAAAATAAGGGCGTCATTTGGGATATTTTTAATGGATTTAAATACATAAACTAGCTTTGCAACTGTTAAGAAGTATGATATTTCTAATGTTGATATTTGCCAATACATAAAAATACGAAAGCCAAGTGAACACTTTCTCGCATGGATTTTGACTATTGGTTTATACAGTAGTTAGTTCACATTTAATTTAACAATTATGTGAATCATAAGCTTACGGTTATGGATTTTTGGGAGGGTTTTCATTATACAGCCTAACGGCCTCATGCAAGAACGTATTGACGGTGTTCTAAGCCAGATGTGCCAAACTCTCCTAAATGCACAAGCTTGTTGTAAATCGCTTCTTTCTACTTGGTGAACTGCACCTGTACATGAATGAAGGTGCATGCTTGTGAGCCTTAATCATTGCCACTATCAAAGCAAATTGTCAAATTGCTATATATATATAGGGCTACCTGTTCTGCTACATCTGTGGGCAGGTTCACTCACAGAAATATTCCCCTGCAGTGCACAAAGAAGAAAGTCCTGCTGCCAGAAATAAGCAGGTGAAGAGTTTAGCAGAGTCAGTGGGGATGTTGTGATTTCAAACCAATGTGAAAATATTCCTACAGCTGTCAATTCTGTGACATTAGGCAGCAGGACCAACATAAATAAAGATGCAACAGTTTGACATGAATCTTGATGCTAAAACACGTCTTTAAAAAAGTGGTTTATGACTTTGATGGGAGACTTTCCAAGCAACTACTAAATTGTAAACATTGTTGTGCCAACATATGAGGCCAAAGAAACAGAGAACTGCTGAGTAAACCCTTGTTTTTTCAGATGAAGGCTTTATGAGTGCGCCATCTGTGCATGACTCATGCTACAGAGCCCTGACACACTGTTTATTCATATAGTCACTTAAGTTGCTCAGCCCTCTTGGTTAAAAAACTGAATATATGCAGATGTGATAGTCCTTAAATAAAGTTTTTATAACTAGATTCGGGAACTAAGACCACGTCTTGAACGCATCCCATTTCCGCCCATCAAGTACTTAAGCACACCTTTTCCATTCAATTCCCCTTGACTCAGTTTTCACATCCCCTCTTGGCTCTCCCTTCTCTCTCTTTGTCTGCATACAGGAACCAGGGGCTCGGTACACCTACCTATGAAGAGACGGCTCCCCCACTCAGAGACTCGACTCCCACCGGTTCCCGCTCATCTTCTATCGGTCTCCTCTACACTCCAACATCCAACAGCCATGGACCCAATTCCTCCCCTAATCACTTCATCCCCCACCCTCCTCCATCACACCTCGACCCTCCTCCCCATTCCCGCATCCCTCAGTCCTCCCTCCGGACCCTTAATCCATTGTCGCAGTTCACCTCCATTACGTCCAATAAACCATTTTAAGTCTACAGGTGCTGGTCATATAATTAGAATATCATCAAAAAGTTGATTTATTTCAGTAATTCCATTCAAAAAGTGAAACTTGGATATTATATCCATCCTGGTAGCTTTGGCACTGTGTGCAGGTGCCAAGTCCTGTTGGAAAATGAAATCTGCATCTCCATAAAGTTGGTCAGCAGCAGGAAGCATGAAGTGCTCTAAAACTTCCTGGTAGATGGCTGCATTGTCCTTGGACCTCAGAAAACACAGTGGACCAACACCAGCAGATGACATGGCACCCCAAACCATCACTGACTGTGGAAACTTTACACTGGACTTCAAGCAACGTGGATTCTGTGCCTCTCCTCTCTTCCTCCAGACTCTGGGACCTTGATTTCCAAAGGAAATGCAAAATTTACTTTCATCAGAGAACATAACTTTGGACCACTCAGCAGCAGTCCAGTCCTTTTTGTCTTTAGCCCAGGCGAGACGCTTCTGACGCTGTGTCTTGTTCAAGAGTGGCTTGACACAAGGAATGCGACAGCTGAAACCCATGTCTTGCATACGTCTGTGCGTGGTGGTTCTTGAAGCACTGACTCCAGCTGCAGTCCACTCTTTGTGAATCTCCCCCACATTTTTGAATGGCTTTTGTTTCACAATCCTCTCCAGGTGCGGTTATCCCTATTGCTTGTACACTTTTTTCTACCACATCTTTTCCTTCCCTTCGCCTCTCTATTAATGTGCTTGGACACAGAGCTCTGTGAACAGCCAGCCTCTTTAGCAATGACCTTTTGTGTCTTGCCCTCCTTGTGTCAATGGTCGTCTTTTGGACAGCTGTCAAGTCAGCAGTCTTCCCCATGATTGTGTAGCCTACAGAACTAGACTGAGAGACCATTTAAAGGCCTTTGCAGGTGTTTTGAGTTAATTAGCTGATTAGAGTGTGGCACCAGGTGTCTTCAATATTGAACCTTTTCACAATATTAAAATTTTCTGAGATACTGATTTTGGTGTTTTCATTAGTTGTCAGTCTGTGTGGAATTAATGTATACATTATACAAGTTTCACTTTTTGAATGGAATTACTGAAATAAATCAACTTTTTGATGATATTCTAATTATATGACCAGCACCTGTACATCTTTGCAGGTGTGGTCTTTGATTGTGAATATTAAATTGCTTCTATCCTTCACATAACGCTGTGTTCAAATTTGCCCTAATGAATTGTACCAAGAGGGAAAACAAACCCACAGTCTAATTCAGTTGGATTAAACAGCGCAGGTTTGAAAACACCCTCAGGTGAGCAAAAGGTGATCAAATAAATAAACAGCACAATATTAGTCAGTGTAGGGCTGTCCTCGACTAAGGATTTAATTAGTCGAATCAGAATTGTCAAGTCCTGCCTATAGTTGACTGAAAGTCGAATCATGTGCGCGGGGGGGTTTACACACAGTAGCTCCGCTTTAATCTTGAGAAGCTGTAGAGCTGCAGTCTCTATTCATTCAACTTACACTGTAAATTTGCAGTTAAACTGAGGCTTTCTGAAGACCCTTTCTCTCTCTCTCTCGCCAGTCATTCAGAGTTTTACGTGCATTACTGCTGCCGACAACAGCATGCACGTTGCGGTTCCTCGCGGATCTATTTCAAGTAGCCGGCTACTTGAAAATGATAAAATATTCTTTGTGTGGTTCATCAACTGTGATAAATTATCCAAAAGTCCCGCGAGGTGTGGACAACTCAGCATAAGACCAGTGAAGCCGGGTCTCAGTCTCTTCAGCAAGTGTTCCCCTTCTGCCACCACACACATGCTACGCCTTCACATGCGCACTGACGACCAAGGGTTAGGGTTACAATTTTGGATTTATTCATGCAATTTAATAACATTTATTGAAAGTTTTATTAGTTTTATTTACTTTTTAAATGTTTATTTACTAAATGTTGAAATGCATTTTGTAATAGGCTGTATATTAACTAATTGGGAGAAAACTGGTAGTTCTGTACAAAATCGTTGAGCACCCCCATATTGCCAAAATGGCATGATCCTTGTTTCACTGCGAAGCTTTGACTGTGAGATTGACAGTTGAATCAGGCTCCGACCATCGAAGCATCGAATCTTTGACTATTCGGGGTCAGCCCTAAGTCAGTGAAATGCTTTAAGTCCTGTATCCTGAAATAATCACTCCCTAGGCAATGAACACTTAAACAGGGTTAATTTTGTCAAAACTAAAGATATCTTAGTTTAGTTTTGGTCTGTGAATCATCAGTTTAGTTGTGCATATTTTGTGTGTGTTCTTGTCTGTAGCGAGTTTAGCAAAAAATACAATGTTTACCTGTTTGTACCAGACTGTAAAACAACAGACTCCTCGCTGAATCCAGCTGTCACTCACTCTCTGTCGTGACCAATCATTATTAAAATCACCTGCACTCTCCTATGCAGAGCAGCTGATCATTCAGAAGCTGGACTCGCTCTTCATTCATTGTTTTACTTCATTGAAGTGAAAACGTTCACTGCTTCATTTTCCTTAAAAATATCTTTGTTGCGATGACAAAATTTCAGATGACTTATAAGATTGTTGTGTTAAAACTCGTATATCTTTACCCCTCCTCTCAGAAACCCTTGCAGAACATGTATTGCAAATTGCAATCCTGTTGTCTTCTTCTGAAATTGTAAGAAATGTTTGAATTGATTTCTTTCTCCCCGTTCCTTTTGTGTGTTGATTGAGTAGCTTTTGAAAGATTCCAGTGTATATTTGGTTTTGACACTTCTCCTCACTCCGTCAGCTCTTACCTGGTCCCAGTCTATACTGCGGAAAAATGTGTGTGACTTGATATCGGTGAAGCCTGTCTGGACCTGGCATCCCAGCCGCTCCTTAGGATCCTGTTGGGACCAAGACAGCTGGTCAGGAACACAAACAGGAGCAAAGATGTGAGAGTCTTTATTTATTCTTTATAATTTACATCTCCACGTAGAAGGTGCAGACTTTCTGTGGGAGTGATTCTACTTTATGTGGACAGTAATAAAGTCGAGAGGGGAGGACGCCGAAAGACGGAATTATATTTCAGATGTTATACAGTTCCTGAGAGAATGAAGCAATTCCCATCTGGACAATTAAAAATAAGGTTTGCTCCACATGTTTTCATCATGCACGACATGTGTATGTGTACATATAGCCCCCTGTAACTGCTTAACTTGGACTGTTTTCATCACTACAATGATTCTGGTGACTTACAGAGAAAAAAACAACATGAATCCAGGAGATGAAATGCAGAAACACACACATTTGCAGGGCCACACCGAAAAGTCTTTTTTTTCTGAACCGTTGTGACAAATACATTTCTTAAAAGGGCCACACAGTGTTTTTCCATGTTGTAGTTTACATTTACTACAAAATCACTGTTTTTTCTTTTAAGGCAGTTTTCTCACATTCATTTTACTAAAGTATAAAAATAGATAGAGATTTAAAACTTAACTCTAGTGTAATTCTATATTTTTCTTTTTGTCAGCATAGCCCTTCTGACTTCTTCTATGGTGGTTCTGATACTGAAGGCATAAATCTAGAAAAACACCTCCCACATATATAGTTTAATTTCCTCAAACAGCTGTTCATTGTAGTTTCTATCAGACAAACAGGAGGAAATAGCAAATTCTTTGGGGACTATTTCTAGCGGCGGATGAATCCACATGTGGTGCTGCAGTGAGAATTTGGGGCAACAGAGTCAGAATAAACTACATTGTGTTTATGGTGATGAAGGAACATGTGACTCAGTGCAGCAGTGGGGCTCACTGATGGTTTTAATAGTTTCTGGATGACAATGGAGCTCTACGGCTCAGAGGAAAGAGACAGTAAATTTTTTCGTTCTGTTCATTGTTGGTTTTGATTTTTCGTGGGATTTGTTGACCATACGAAAATCTATAGAATTTCCCCAGACTGATAGTTTAATCCATCACTGTGGATGTCTTGTTTAGACATAAACCTGCCTTTATCTGAAAGGCCTTTCCACGGAGCAGTAATTGAAAATAAAAGCAGACATGACGTCTCTGTGAGTGTTCATATTGCTGTGATGTGGATGTAAAGCAGTTGGTGCCTGAAAGGTGGATCAAAAAAAGAAATCTGAAACAATATAGTATTGTGTAGACAACTGCATGATGTGCAGTAGTAACATAGGTTTTTGTGAGAAAAGGTTATTAAACCCCATTTTAAAGGATAGTATTTTAACATTTTGTTAAAAATGTTTATTTGCGTTTTCTCTGGGAGTGAGACGTATCAGCTGGAGTCAGGTCATGGTTAGCTTAGCTTAGCATAAAGACGGGAAACAGGGGAAACTTACCAAAACACCTAGAGCTCACTAATTACCTTATAATATGTCCTTTTTTAAATTTGTACACAAACAGAAATGTTAAAATGACTATTTGTTTATGTTGGAACTTTTTTATTAGCAAAGTGATTTCCTGGAGTAACAGTAAGGTTGCCACTATGATGACTATGTCATTTTTAGATTTCTCCTTCAGTCTTTATACTCTATGCTATGCTTAGCTAGGCTATGATCCTGATCTTCTCATTTTACTTTTAGAGAGGAACCAATAAGCATATTTCCAGAAATGTTGAACTATTCCTTTAAGTCCCAAGATTCTTCTAATCTCAGCCATTAAATGTTTGGTCAGTTTGATTATGGCATACTTCATAAACTGATATTATATTAAAGTGTTAGAACATTTAAAACCCCATTTCATTTATTTTACCATTTTATCTTGTTCTTGTTCCTTGACCCAAGCTGCATACTGAGTGTGAGGCTGAAACATGCAAAAACATGGATTCTATATTTCACTCGCGCTCTATCTTCGTTCTACTATCATTAAAGTTTCACTTTATTGTAACACAGGGATCAACACGTACACTGAATGAAGAGGCCTTCTCTGGCGGATCAAAACAATGCCCAGGTTCGTGACCATGATCCCACACATGGCGATTTGACTGAGCAGCAGCGTGCACGGACACAGAGAGAGAAAGGGCTGCGCTCACCTTGTTTAGAAAGCCCTTGAGCACGCTGGCAGCTTTCACAGACAGAGACCTTGGGATGCGAATGGGCTTCTCAAGAATAACTGTAGGCAAAAAAGAGGGGAAGGACAGCAACAAAAAAAAAAGAGAGAGAAAGAGGGCGAGAGAAAGAAAAGGACAATCGTGAGTAGGGAGGAGGATGATTCACGGTCCAACCTGCCTGTGGGTGACCATGTCTGCGGCGTGGGAGTCAAAGGAAGGGAGGAGATGCAGAGGACACTATTCTGTTCTTTCTCTCAATTCTGATGTCGTACACACAGCCTTGAGACTCCCACAGCTCAACAATGTCATGCTAACGAGAACAAAAACAAATGTGAAAAATAGTTTGTCCCTCTAAACCTGAATCCAAGGATGTAGTACTACATCAAAGATTTGTGCTTCATGCTGAGGTGTGACCGGTGTGTGTTCTCATACAGATGTTTCAGAAAGAGACGTGGATGTAACGATGTAGATGAGTATGCTCTCTGTGAAGTCATCTGTGGATGATGATTGCAGCAACAGCCCTGTTATTTCTGATAAGCTGCTGGGTGATGAGAAAACAAGATTTGTAGAAAATCTTGCTTAATACTTAATATTCAGAAAGGCTAAGAATTGTATTACGTGCTTCATTCAGGATATTTGTGCACATTGTCTTTCATTAGAAGTGCTTCAGAAACAACATGGAAGAGGACAGGATGGCCTTCTCTCTAAACAGCGGCCACAAATCAGATGAGAGATGAGATGAGCTGAGCTGATCAAAATGTTGATGCACTCATCTGTGACATTTCTAATTAGTATCGTGCGCTCTCAACAACACGCTTCTCGAGTGGCAGCGAGTGATGCGTGGCTTGTTCCTTCGTCTCAGTGGTATAATTGTTTACCACAATCAAAACGGTTATCACAGTTGTTCTACATGTGTATATGTTCGTGTGTTGCTCTTATGTTTTAGTGAGTCAAATATTCTGGCGGTCAATAAAGTAGTATTCTACTCCACAGGCTTCATTGTGTCCTCACCGTGTCCTGTCATGTCCCCTCCCCCACTGGTTATGATGTGTATATTATTGTCAATTAGGTTGTCTTCTGTTTCCCTCAGGTGTATCAAGTCAGGACTGTTTGAGAGGAAGCCAGTAAAGAGAGGGTGGGAAGAGAGATCACCTTCCAGCCTTGGCAGTAGCAGACTGATTGTGACCTGTGTAAAATAGATTGTTGTTTTCTTTGTGCTCTGACGGGTCTGGTAGTCCTGTCCGGCTTTATTTCTGTTTGGGAAGGTTTAGTTTAAGGTTGGTTAAGAACAGAGGGAAGACTCCAGAACGGCCCTTTGTGTGCTGGTCTGGAGGGCTTCCCTTTCTTTTGTTAATTTTGGCCGTCCCATCGGACCTATCTTGTTTTAGGTTGTTATTTAAGGCTGATTTTTTGGCACTTTTTCATTGTTTATTTAATAAACGTAATGTTTGCTTTTTGCAACTCCTTGACTCTCTTGATTATGTTAGACCTCTTCTGTAATGAGCCTTTCTGGGGGTCGTAACACAGGACAATATATCAGAGAAATACCAAAACAGGAAAGGATGGAAATGTTCCACAACTTCCCTTCTGGTACTCTTCATGATTACAGATGATAAATACAGGTATTGGATATTGATACAAAATGGTGAGATGAGAAGGCAGTCTAGTTTTTACAGTACAACACACTGGCATAGCGGTTTTTATCAGCCAATTTTAGCTAATGTCAGATATACTGTTGTATTAGTATCAGCATGATGAAGACTCTTTACATATGTTTGAAAGCTCTGGGCAAAGCTAGTAAGTGATCAGAAAACTAGAAAGGTGTTTCCATTGGTTCCACCACTGAATCAAATGTTTGCCAGCTGCCTGTCTGTCTAAAGCTCTGAGCGCTGATACCCAAAGCAGATCCTGGCGCAGGGTCTAGCTAGGTCGCATATGGCTGGGTGCCCCCTATAGTGAAAGGGTTGGTTTCCACTGGCGGGCGTTCACCCAGGAACCTGCTGCTCTACCGGTAAGACCGCCAGGAGGATGGTACTGGTGGCAGATGCTAGCCGTGGTGCCACGCTATGCTCCTGACAGTCACAGCAGAGACGTGATGCGTCACACGGAGCTACTGTAGTATGGAGGAATTTCTGTTACAGTGGGCTGTGTGGGTGACTGTGTGAGAGAGAGGAGGGAGGTGCAGTAAGGGGGTGTGCTGTGTGAGGGTACCATATGGCTCGAGGAAACACAAATGCAAATAGGACAGATATTATAGAGGTTCCTTTTCCCTGAGGGTGCGATCACACCCACTGTTTGTTTTCTTTGGTCCAAACCAATGTTTGTGTAGGTTGGCACTGCGATACTTATAAGTACCTTCCTTAATGGGCAGCGTTCTGGTACTTTAACTGGTCACCCACTGAGTTTAAGATTTTGTTTTGGTGACTGTAAGTTGCCAATCGAATAGTTTAATTCTGGCAAAGAGAAAAAATGCATTTCTTGTAGCGGCAGTATTTTTCTCAAACCACCATCATCTGCTGGTCAGCAAGTAGCAGGGGAAAAAAACAGTACTAAGAACATCCAACGAAGGTTAAAATCAAGGGCAACTGGACTTGGTTGAAGATACTGGAAGACGTGGTCGTGTCTTTCCAGATAAAATGAAAATAGCTAAAGTAATACCAATATATAACTGGAGACAAACATATACTACACAACTGCAGACCCATCTCATTGCTTCCACAGTTCTCCAAAATATTGGAAAAAATGTTCTTTATGAGGCTGGATGATTTCATCACCAACAATAGATAGATTTTATAGAAAAAGTTACAACGCAATAGACAGGAAACAATATACAGTAGGGATATTCCTAGATCTCAAAAAAGCTTTTGACACTGTAGATCACAAATTATTGATTAAAAAACTACAAAGATATGGTATTAGAAGAATTGCACTGACATGGTTATCCAGTTACCTGGAGAACAGAAAACAGTATGTTGAAATACAAAACAATAAATCACAACTGCTGCAGGTTACATGTGGGGTGCCACAGGGTTCAGTGTTGGGGCCATTATTATTTAACCTCTATATAAATAATATATGTGAAGTATTGCAAATTGTGGAAACCATTCTTTTTGCTGATGACACAAACGTACTATGCTGTGGTGAAAATTTGGAGAAGCTACTGGATACCATGGAAAAGGAAGTGAGTAGGATGAAGATTTGGTTTGATGAAAATAAACTAACACTGAATTTGAGTAAAACAAAATTTATAATATTTGGGAACCGATAAACCGACACAGATAAGAAACTCATGATAAATGGTATAGAACTAGAACGAGTATCTGAAATAAAATTCCTCGGGGTAGTTGACAACAAATTAAGCTGGAAACCTCACATAAAGTTTGTGATGGACTGGCGACCTGTCCAGGGTATACCCCGCCTTTCGCCCGATGTCAGCTGGGATTGGCTCCAATACCCCTGCGACCCTGTACACAGGATAAGCGGTTGACGGGTGGATGGACCTCACATAAAGTATATTAAAACAAAAATATCCAAGTCATTAGCAATATTAAATAAAGCCTAAGACCTATTGAATCAGGCTTCTCTAAATATGCTGTCCTGCTCCTTCATACTCCCATACATGACTTATTGTGTGGAAGTACACTGCTCAAAAAAATAAAGGGAACACTTAAACAACACAATGTAACTCCAAGTCAATCACACTCCTGTGAAATCAAACTGTCCACTTAGGAAGCAACACTGATTGACAATCAATTTCACATGCTGTTGTGCAAATGGAATAGACAACAGGTGGAAATTATAGGCAAATAGCAAGACACCCCCAATAAAGGAGTCGTTCTGCAGGTGGTGACCACAGACCAATTCTCAGTTCCTATGCTTCCTGGCGGGTTTTTTTTTTATCACTTTTGAATGCTGGCGGTGCTTTCACTCTAGTGGTAGCATGAGACGGAGTCTACAACCCAGACAAGTGGTTCAGGTAGTGCAGCTCATCCAGGATGGCACATCAATGCGAGCTGTGGCAAGAAGGTTTGCTGTGTCTGCCAGCGTAGTGTCCAGAGCATGGAGGCGCTACCAGGAGACAGGCCAGTACATCAGGAGACGTGGAGGAGGCCGTAGGAGGGCAAGAACCCAGCAGCAGGACCGCTACCTCCGCCTTTGTGCAAGGAGGAGCAGGAGGAGCAGGAGGAGCACTGCCAGAGCCCTGCAAAATGACCTTCAGCAGGCCACAAATGTGCATGTGTCTGCTCAAACGGTCAGAAACAGACTCCAAGAGGGTGGTACGAGGGCCCGACGTCCACAGGTGGGGTTTGTGCTTACAGCCCAACACCGTGCAGGACATTTGGCATTTGCCAGAGAACACCAAGATTGGTAAATTCGCCACTGGCGCCCTGTGCTCTTCACAGATGAAAGCAGGTTCACACTGAGCACATGTGACAGACGTGACAGAGTCTGGAGACGCCGTGGAGAACGTTCTGCTGCCTGCAACATCCTCCAGCATGACCGGTTCGGCGGTGGGTCAGTAATGGTGTGGGGTGGCATTTCTTTGGGGGGCCGCACAGCCCTCCATGTGCTCGCCAGAGGTAGCCTGACTGCCATTAGGTACCGAGATGAGATCCTCAGACCCCTTGATGCTAGGGACTGGCCCGCCCATTCCCCAGACCTGAATCCAATTGAACACATCTGGGACATCATGTCTCGCTCCATCCACCAACGCCACGTTGCACCACAGACTGTCCGGGAGTTGACGGATGCTTTAGTCCAGGTCTGGGAGGAGATCCCTCAGGAGACCATCTGCCACCTCATCAGGAGCACGCCCAGGCGTTGTAGGGAGGTCATACAGGCACATGGAGGCCACACACACTACTGAGCCTCATTTTGACTTGTTTTAAGGACATTACATCAAAGCTGGATCGGCCTGTAGTGTGGTTTTCCACTTTGATTTTGAGTGTGACTCCAAATCCAGACCTCCATGGGTTGATAAATTTGATTTCCATTGATCATTTTTGTGTGATTTTGTTGTCAGCACATTCAACTATGTAAAGAAAGGAGTATTTAATAAGAT